GGATTATATATATATATATAGCATTTTTTAATTATTATTTTACTTTATTTTATTTCTTGAGAGATTTTTGCTACAGGGCATGTGTACTTGCGAGAGAGACAGAGAAACAGAAAGGGGGAAATCACCCCCTGGGGGGATGGCTACACCACAATCCCTTCTCTATTCTTGGGATCTTGGACACACACTCCTGGCATGAGTTTTAAGTCATCGGGTCCAGGGCTCAAACCCAGGTCAATTACATGGAAGTCCAGCAGTGTAACCATTAGACCATTTGCTTGTCCCTTATTTTATTTTTTAGAGATTCTTGCTCTAGGGCTTATGTGCTCACCAAAGGGACAGAAAGCAAGAAATCACACCACCCAGGGGAGATGGCCATGCCACAATCCTTTCTCCTCCATTTTCTTCCTAGAAATGCACATGTGCCTGGTGTGACTCTCAAGCCATTGGTCTGGGACTCAAACCATCACGTGAAAGTCCATTGCCTTAACCACTGTACTGCCTGCTGGCCCCTAAAATTATTTTAAGCAGCACCATATTTTGCACATAAGTGTTGAGGCAGTAGTAATGAGTAAGAGCACGTGGCTAGGAAATTACGGGATAGGTCAGTGGGCCATCCACTTTGCCCTGGATTATTACAGCAAATCCTGTTTCCACTCCTTATCTCTTCCCCACACTTCCACTTGTTCTCTCTCTCCTCAATTTTTTTCTGGCCTTCTTTGTCTTACTTCTTTTGAGGTTTTTCCTTCCTTAGGCCCTGCCATCTATACCACCTCTGACACTTTCTAAACCCCTGGCGTGAGGGGGCGTGCTGTTTAGGAACATAAGAATTTCCACACATCTGTCCGTGCTGTAAGCTCCCCTCCCTTCCATCTGATGTAACTTTATGCTCTCAGTTCTATCATATGGTTGATTTCTCAGGGATGTATTTCCCCAAGAGTTTTATATATTCTAGTGCCAAAAAATCTTCAGGTGCAGGTTAAAAGGGTCCCTGGATGGGGCTTTGAGGGACTTGCCTTGCTATAGTAGTCAGGTGTTCATTCAACTTAGTATCCAAGTTTCTCTGAAGATCAGCTTCCTGGCCAGCCTGCTGTATTTGTATAATGAGGTCACCTGACAGTTGTGCTGAGGGAAGTACCTGGGCATCCTGTGTTGCAAAAAACTTTCCCCTCCCTTTATATGATGCATGAAACCACTCCATTTAACTGATTTAGCCTGGTTGGTAGGAGAGAACTACTCTGACTAAACACTCTAATATATCTTCAATGTTAGAAAACTTACATTGTAGAGTTCAGCCTTAAAATGACAAGATTATATATTTTATTACTTAATTTTTTATTTAAAAATTACACAGTTAAAAAAAAAGTTAAGTAGCACTTTAAGACTACAGTCAGGGACCAGCAGGTGGCATGGTGGTTAAGGCGCTGGACACTCCAACATGGCTGATCAGGGTTCAAGTCCTGAATCTGGTGGCTTGCTTTCTCACTTCCTCTCTCTGTCACTCTCACCCTCCATCTCTCTCTGGTCAAATTAAGAAATAAATGAATGAATAAATAAAAATAAATTATTATAAAAAAATCTTTTTTTTTTTTTGGAGAGGTTTTTGCTATAGGGCACGCGTGCTTGCCAGAAAGACGGAGAGAGAGAGAGATAGAAAGCAAGAAATCACCCCCAAGGGGGGATGGCCATGCTGCAATCCCTTCTCCTCCATTCTCCTCTTCGGATCTTGGGCACTCATGCACACACGCCCAGCGTGAGTTTAAGCCACCAGGTCCAGGACTTGAACCGTGGTCGACTACGTGGGAGTCCAGCAACATAGCCATTATGCTAACTGTTGGTCCCTATAAAAATATTCTTAAAAAAAAAAAAAGACTCTACAGTGAGAAGTAAGATGTGCTCCTTTTCTTCAGACTTCCAGTCCTCCTGACTGTTAACAGTTTCTTGAATCCTTCCAGGAATACACTATAAATATACAAGCAAAATTCACATGAATATACTATGCAGACTTATTCTGCCCCTTTCTTTTTTTCACTTTACATATGTGATGGGCCATTTTGTTTTTGCACTTGTAGATCTAACTCATATTTTAAAAAAAGAAAACAGCTACATGGGGCCAGCAGGTGGAGTAGTAGTTAAGGCCACTGGACTCCCATGTGGCTGACTGCGGTTCCAGGCCTGGACCTGGTGGTTTGCTTTCTCTTTCTCTTTCGCTCTCGCTCTCACTCTGTCTCTCTCTGGTCAAAATGAATAAATAAAGCTAAATAAAATAATTTTTTTAAAAAAGCTACATAGTATGCTCTGGATCATCACACTTTTTATATAGTATATATTTCAAAATGTTATTAAGATTTAGAGTGGAGAGCCCAGCAGATGGCATAATGGTTACATCACTGGACTCCCATGTAATTGATTGCTTTTCAAGTCCCATTCCCAGTGGCTTAAAACTCACTTCGATGTGTGTACATGCGAGTCCAAAACCCCAAGAAGAATGGAGGAGAAGGGATTGCAGCAGAGCCTTCCCCCCCGGGGGGATGATGTCATGCTTTCTGTCTCTGTCTCTCTGGCAAGTACACGCACCCTATAGTAAAAAAAATGTCTTTCTAAAAAGAAAAAAAATGAATAAATAAAAATAAATTATTATAAAAAAATTTTTTTTTTTTTTGGAGAGGTTTTTGCTATAGGGCACGCGTGCTTGCCAGAAAGACGGAGAGAGAGAGAGATAGAAAGCAAGAAATCACCCCCAAGGGGGGATGGCCATGCTGCAATCCCTTCTCCTCCATTCTCCTCTTCGGATCTTGGGCACTCATGCACACACGCCCAGCGTGAGTTTAAGCCACCAGGTCCAGGACTTGAACCGTGGTCGACTACGTGGGAGTCCAGCAACATAGCCATTATGCTAACTGTTGGTCCCTATAAAAATATTCTTAAAAAAAAAAAAAGACTCTACAGTGAGAAGTAAGATGTGCTCCTTTTCTTCAGACTTCCAGTCCTCCTGACTGTTAACAGTTTCTTGAATCCTTCCAGGAATACACTATAAATATACAAGCAAAATTCACATGAATATACTATGCAGACTTATTCTGCCCCTTTCTTTTTTTCACTTTACATATGTGATGGGCCATTTTGTTTTTGCACTTGTAGATCTAACTCATATTTTAAAAAAAGAAAACAGCTACATGGGGCCAGCAGGTGGAGTAGTAGTTAAGGCCACTGGACTCCCATGTGGCTGACTGCGGTTCCAGGCCTGGACCTGGTGGTTTGCTTTCTCTTTCTCTTTCGCTCTCGCTCTCACTCTGTCTCTCTCTGGTCAAAATGAATAAATAAAGCTAAATAAAATAATTTTTTTAAAAAAGCTACATAGTATGCTCTGGATCATCACACTTTTTATATAGTATATATTTCAAAATGTTATTAAGATTTAGAGTGGAGAGCCCAGCAGATGGCATAATGGTTACATCACTGGACTCCCATGTAATTGATTGCTTTTCAAGTCCCATTCCCAGTGGCTTAAAACTCACTTCGATGTGTGTACATGCGAGTCCAAAACCCCAAGAAGAATGGAGGAGAAGGGATTGCAGCAGAGCCTTCCCCCCCGGGGGGATGATGTCATGCTTTCTGTCTCTGTCTCTCTGGCAAGTACACGCACCCTATAGTAAAAAAAATGTCTTTCTAAAAAGAAAAAAAAAAAGATTTAGAGTGGAAAACAATTTGAAAACAGTGTAAACACCCAAATAAAATCAAAATCTACACCTATTTGGCAAAGCATTGCATTTATGGTAAGAAAGAACATTTTCTCTATGAAGCATATTGTGGATTGAACAGTGGCCCCAAAATGTCCATGTCCTAACCCCCAGAACCTATGAATGTGACCTTATTTGCGAAAAGGTCTTTGCAGGTATACTTAAGGACCTCAAGGTAAGATCACTCTTGATTTATGGTAGATCCTTAACTCAATGACAGGTGTCTTTATAAGAGAAAGGCAGAGGGTGATTTGACACATAGCAGAGAAGGCTATGTGACCGTGGAGGCAGAGACAGGAAGGATGTGGTCTCAAGCCAAGGAATGCCTGGAACTACTTAAAGCTGGAAGATGCAAAGAAGGGTCCTCCCCTAGAGCCTTTCAAGGGACTATGGCCTTGATGATTCCTTGATTTTGGCGTTCTAGCCTCTGGATCTGTGAAAGAATAAATTCTGTCATGGTGATTTGTTACAGCAGCCCTGTGAAACTAATAAAGGGTACTAACCTCCTGCCAGGACTCCTAGTCACTTCCTTTTACATCACAGCATAAAGCGTAGTCTAAGCCAAGATGTCTAGCTCATTTTGGATCCTGGATTTTTCATTTTGGATCCTGGTTTTTTTTTTTTTTTTTTTTGAGAGATTTTTGCTATAGGGCGTATGCGCCCAGCAGACAGACAGAGAGAGACAGAGAAACAGAAAGCAAGAAATCACCCCCCAGGGGGGATGGTCATGCTGCAATCCCTTCTCCATTCTCCTCTCAGGATCTTGGGCGCACATGCGCCTGGCGTGAGCTTTAAGCCACCGGGTCCAGGACATGAACCACGGTCAACTACGTGGGAGTCCAGCAACATAGCCATTACACTAACTGCTGGTTCCCTGGATCCTGGATTTCTTTCTTTCTTTCTTTCTTTTTAATCAGGAAAGAAATAAAGATTTAATGGTTTTTGTTTTAGATAGTACTTAAATTCTAAGACAGTCAAAACACATTGACTAGGTTTTCCTATGCATTATATTTACACAGCGACTGATTTTACCTTTCCAAGAACAGTTGCCCAGGAGGATGAGAAAGCAACTTGTAATAGTTTCTGGGGCCCATACTGCTTCAGGTCAGCTGTCCCCTAACAGAGCAATGAACTAAAATTAGGTGTCTTTTTCCCTTCCCTCTTCTTATGTTTTAACTTGAAATGTTTCTGAATAGGAAGTGTGTTTTTTTGGATATAAAAAGCTAGATGACCACCCTAATTCAGGATTGTGTTTCATCCCAGGAGACCAGGCAATAGATTGGGTTAAGAATTACCTCTTATCTACGGGAATGCTGCGATGAAGCCAAAGATCCACATAACTAGTGTAAACTCCTCTGTAAAATGAGAGCACTTCTTCAGGCCGTCTGCTGTGTCCCATCCAGTCTGACAAACTGGTATCAAAGCTCAGATCTTCCACAGCATAAAGACTTGTCCTTTCTGCAATGGTGGATGCAGAAAGGAAGGTACATCATATTGTGGAACCAGCTTTCAGATGCCAAAAAAAAAAAGTCTATGTTGGGATTAAAGCAGGTTAATAAACTGTAATTTTTGTTTTTTAACCATACTTA